TTTGGCGAACTAGAATTAGCCTGGCGAGGGACCCAACCACTTCAATTTGTGAGCACCGTCGTTGTATGCACCGTATTCGGAGGAGCTCCTTATATGGCCACGAAACGTGTGAGGGGTATGCCAAATTGGTGCGGTGGGCGCATGCGAACGCAGCCACTTTGGCCGTCGGTGCAGCTCCCTGTGGGGCCATGAAACGTGTGAGGGGTGTGCCAAAATTGGTGCGGCTGGCGCATGCGAGCGCAGCCACTGCGGCCATCGATGGAATTCTCTATGGGGTCGCGAAGCGTGTGAGGAGTGTGCCAACATGGTGTGGCGTGTGCATGCGAATGCAGCAGCTGAGTCGGTGGAGCTCCCTATGGGGCCACGAAGCTTGTGGGGGCTGTGCCAAAACGGGTGCGGTGGGCGCATGCAAACGCAGCTACTGGGGCCGCCGGTAGAGCTCCCCAGGGGGCAGCGAAGCGTGTGAGCGCATGCGAACGCAGCCACTGAGGCTGTCGGTGGAGCTCCCTATGTGGCTGCGACACGTGCGACGGTGTGCCAGCATGGGTGCGGTTGGCGCATGCAAGCGCTGGCACGCGGGGCTTCGGTGAAATCCCCCGTGGGACCACGAAGCGTGTGAGGGGTGTGCCAAATTGGTGCGGTGGGCGCATGCGAACGCAGCCACTGGGGCCGTTGGTGGAGCTCTCTATTGGGCCACGAAACGTGTGAGGGGTGTGCCAAAATGGGTGCGGCGGGCGCATGCGAACCCCTGGCATGTGGACCTTCGGTGGATCCCCTACGGGGCCACGAAGCGTGTGAGGGGTGTGCCAAATTGGTGCGGTGGGCGCATGCGAACGCAACCACGTGGGCCGTTGGTGGAACGCCCTATGGGGCCACGACGCGTGTGAGAGGTGTGCCGACATGGGTGCGGTGGGCGCATGCGAACGCAACCACTGCGGCCATCTGTGGAGCTCCCTATGGGGCCACGAAGCGTGTGAGGGGGGTGTTGTGCATGCGAACGCAACCATTGGGGCCGTCGGTGACGCTCCCTGTGGGGCCGCGAAACGTGTGAGGGGTGTACCCAAGTTGGTGCGGTGGGCGCATGCGAACGCAGCTGCTGGGGCCGTCTCGGTGGAGCTTCCTGTGGGGCCACGGAACGTGTGAGGGGTGTACCAAATTGGGTGCAGAGGGCGCGTGCAAACGATGGCATGAGGAATATCGGTGGAGCTCCCTATGGGGCCATGAAGCGTGTGAGGAAATGGGTGCAGTGGGCGCATGTTGACATAATCACTGGGGCCGTCGGTGGAGCTCCCTGTGGGGCCGCGAAACGTGTGAGGGCGTGCTAACGTGAGTGCGGTCGGCGCATGCGAACGCAGCTGCTGAGGCCGTCGGCGGAGCTCCCTGTGGGGCCACGAAACGTGTGAAGGATGTGCTAACATGGGTGCGGTTGGCGCATGCGAGCGCTGGCATGTGGACCTTCGGTGGAGCTCCCTACGGGGCCACGGGACATGTGGCGGGTGTGCCGCGAAACAGATACATGCGGCGGGCAGGCAAGGAGGGGGAGGAGGGATGCGGAGGGGGAGGATGAAGGACAGGACGTCAGAGCCTGGGCGCTGCCGCTTCAACACGAGGACCCGCCATCGCAGTATGGTTGGGAATGGCGAATGCCCGCGACGCTATCGCGAGAGCCACATTTTGAAAACGACTTGTCCTCAGTCCTTGAAGTTGTTGCAACCTTTGAAAACAATTAGCCTGGCGAAGGACCCAACCATATGCAATTGTGAATACCGTCGTTGTTAGTATCGCCTTCGGTGGATCTTCTTATGAAGCCACGAAGCGCGTGAAGAGCCTGCCGAAATGGGGCAGGGCGGAGCTCCCTAAGGGGCCACGAAGCGTGTGAGGGGTGTGTAAAAATGAGGCGGTGCAGCCATGCGGACTGCGTCGCTGGGATCTTAGGTGGAGCTCCCTATGGGCCACGAAGCGTGTGAGGGGTGTGCCAAAATGGGGCGGCGCCGCCATGCGGACTGCGCCACTGGAACCTTGGGAGGAGCTCCCTATGTAGCCGAGAAGCGTGTGATGGGTGTGCCAACATGGGGCGGCGCCGCCATGCGGACTGCGCCACTGAGACCTTCTTAGTTAGAGCTCCCTATGTGGCCACGAAATGTGTGAGGGGTGTGCCACAATGGGGCGGCGCCGCCATGCGGACTGCGCCACTGGGACCTTAGGTGGAGCTCCCTATGGGGCCACGAAACGTGTGATGGGTGTGCCAACATGGGGCGGCGCCGCCACGCGGACTGCGCGGGAGGAGGGGGAAGGGGGGGGAGAGGAGGGACGCGCGGCGTTGTCTCTTCAAAACGGGGGCTCGACACCACATGATGGTTGGGGAACGCAGTGTTCGCGGCGCTAACGTGTGACCGCATTTTCAAAGCAACCCGCCCTCTATCCGTGATTGTGTTGCGATTTTGGTGAACGAACGTGCGCGGGTCCTATTCTGAAAACGGCCCGCCCTCCATCCGTGAAGCTGTTCCAAATCTTGCAACTGTAGGGTCATAGACGCGGGTGGGACCTCAGGCGAAAAGCCCAAGCCGCCCTACGGACACGTTTCGGGGTGCGGCAGGGAGGACTTATTCATATGGAGAAGGGGTGGAGGAGCGAGGAGGCACGAGGAGAAGGAGAAGGAGCATGATGAGGAGAATGATGAGGAAGAGGAGGAGGAGGCGGAGGACGGGCGTGAACAGAGGATGTATCAAGGATGATGCAATACACCATCCCTTCCCGTGTCCCCTCCTCATAAGTTCCTACATATCATTCCGCTGGGGGAGGCGTCCCCTTACAAGATGCGTGGTCCATGGGCCTGCGGGATCACCATGTTTAACAGGATCCGCCCATCAGTGTAACATGAACATTTTGAGGACGTCTCAAGCGATAGACCGTTTTGAAGAAAGGAGCCGTTCCCCATCCATGCAGTTGCTTCATCTGTTCATAAGTTAGAGGTAGTCGCACGCTGTAGCTACATTTCGACCACCAAACGTTCCTCCGTTTGAATATCGCAAGTTTTTTTTCACAGAAGGTGAGTGGTGCGAAGGCGAGGGCCCCACTTCGAGAACGCAGCGCCATTACTCGTTGTAACTGGTGCAGGCTCTTAGAGGGAATGTACGCGACGCTACGGCGAGATGCCGAGTTTGAACACGACCCGCCCTCCATTATTGTAGCTGTTGCAGATTTCAAGCTTCTGTGTCAGAAGCGGGCGCACAGTCTTAGGCGAAACGTCTGGAGCGCCCTGCCTACGTCCAGGGGTGCGACAGGGAGGAGTTACCAAGAAGGATTTGGAGGAGGTCGGACGATGAGTTGGAGCGACGACCCATGTGTTGGGCGTCTTGTGCCAGTGTAGGTTTTCTGGGCGCCTCATGTAAACCCTATGAGACTTTGGAATCTTCCAGGGACTTCTCGAGACATCCAGGGAGTAAGAGGAGAAGGAGCAGGAGGCGAACATGGAGGGAAAGGGGAGGAATACACTGACGACGACGAGCATGTGGGCGATGAAGGAGGAGTGATGAGGAGGATGTAGGGTGGATTGAGGGGTGAAGAGAAGGCGGCGGAGGAGGAGGATGAAGAGAAGGAGGAGAAGGAGGAGGAGGAGGAGGAGGAGGAGGCGGGGGCGGGGAGGGAGCGAGGGAGGGAGGGAGGGAGGGGCGAGGAGGAGGATGGAGAGGAGGAGGAGGAGGAGGAGGAGGTGGAGGAGGTATACGGAACGAGGGAGATATGATGAGGAGGAGGGGGAGTACAGGACGATGGTGTTGATTGTGGTAATAACAACAATACCGATAACAATGCGAATGATACTAATAATACTAGTAATAATAATAGCCATGACGATGATGCTGATGCTGATACTGATGAGGTGGATGATGTTGATACTGATGATGATGCTGATGATGCTGACGCTGATGATGATGATGATGTTGCTGATGATGATGATACTGATGATGATGATGATGCTGATGATGATGATGCTACTGAGAAGTAGGATGCTGATGAGGAGTAGGATGCTGATGCTGATGATGTTGAGGATGCTGATGATGATGGTGGTGGTGATGACGATGGCGACGCCGATGACGATGACGATGACGGTGATTCTGCTGCTGCTGCTGATGATGACGATAATGCGCATGTTGATGCTGCTGTTGTTGTTGATGCTGATACGGAGGAGGAGGAGGATGATGAGGAGGAGGAGGAGGCGATGGTGAGAGTGTGGATGAGGATACTGGCAATGATACTGATATGTATGATGATGCTGCTGATGCTGATGACGATGATGATGGTGATGCGTATGATGTTGACAATAATGATGGTAATGATGATGATGATGATGATGATGATGATGATGCTGACGATGATGATGATGATGATGATGGCTGTGAGGCTGATGATGATGCTGATGCTGATGCTGATTATGCTGATGATGACGACCACTATGATGATGCTGATTATGAAGGTGGTGGTGGTGATGATGAGGATGATGCTGATACTGCTGATGACGATGTCGATGCCGATGATGATGCTGATGCTGATGATGATGATGTTGACGTTGATGATGATGGTGGTGACGATGAGGATGATGCTTATGACTATGCTGATGATGACAACGTCGATGTTGATGATGCTGCTGATGATGATGACGATGCTGATGCTGCTGATGATGCTGATGATGCTGCTGATGATGACGATGGTGATGCTGCTGATGATGATGCTGATGGTGGTGGTGATGATGAGGATGAGGATGATGATGATGATGATGATGATGATGATGATGCTGTTGATGATGATGATGATGATGATGATGATGACGATGATGATGATGATGATGATGATGATGATGATGATGATGATGATGATGATGATGATGATGATGATGATGATGATGATGATGATGATGAGCAGGAGGAGTAGGAGGAGGAGGTAGAGGAACAGGGAGGAGGGAGGAAGGCGGAAGAGGAGAGGCAGGAGGCAGGGACAGGGAGGACGGAGGATTGAGGATGGATGATTGAGAATACGGATGGGATGAGGGGCACGGGAGGGATGAAGAGGTGCAGAATTGCAGGTGTTGTGGTTGGTCATATGCAATTCCCCAAACAGTTTTTGCACTGAAGGCGTCTTCGTGTGGCTTTACTTGATTTGGTGACACGGTGTCGTCGATTTTGGTATGCGGCGGGGCTCCCGGGTTCGCGGTTCTGAGGTTCTGGTTCCAGGTTCTTGCCTTCCATGGGTTCCCAGGTTCCCAGTTGCGGCCAGGTTCCTGGGACCTCGCGCGTACAGACAGAATGCACCGTACAAGGTATAGGGCAGAGAGCAGAACTAGGAAGCAGAGCGCAGAGAGAGAGAGTCGGGAGTCGAGAGCAAATTGTATAGATGCGAACGTAGTGAGTATAGGGTAGGGTAGAGCGTAGAGGGCGGAGTGTAGAGTTCAAACGTAGGAGGGGCGGGTACATATTAGAGAACACAGTGTAGAAAAGAGAAGGTTGAGAGTGGAGCACAGCTGGACCCACATTCATCATCTTGCGCTCTGGCCTAACGCAATCATTGGGGTACCCTCCAATCTGATTCATTTGAGTCGTCATCAGTACGTGTAGTGTCAAACGCCAAACTGGTGTGATGTGTGTATACCTATTCGGGGAATGTGTTGGGGAGCTTCCGCTTCGGCCGAGTGTTTTCCTGCTGGTATTTCTCCTCCTTGTCCTACCACCTTCTCCTTTTCCTCCCGCCTCCGCCGCCGCCTCCTCTCGCTGTTCTCCTTCCTCCGCCTCCCTTGCCTCCTATGCCTCCTCTCCTCGTCATCTCCCTCTGCATCCTCTCCTCCGCATCCTCTTCCTCCTTTTCATCCTCCTTCTTCTTCTCGTCTTCGTGGTCGTCGTCGTCTTCTTCCTCCTCCTACTCCTTCTTATCCCCCTCTGTTTTTTTCCCAGCCATCCTGTGGTATTGGTTCCTTGCTTTTAAGCGACAGCGCCCCGCGTTCCTTCCTCCTTCCTTCCTGCTCCCCCTCCTCCCTCCTCCCCCTCCCTGCGTCTGCCCTCCGCATGTCTCTGTTCCGGCACACGCCTCACACGTGTTTCCTGGCCTTCTATGGGGGCTCCACCGACGGCCCACATGTAGGCGTTCGCACGCGTCCGCCGCACTCCTGTCGGCACACCTCTCACACGCTTCGTGGTCCCATAGGGAGTTCCACCGGAGGCCCCAATGGCTACGTTCGCATGCGCCCGCCGCACCCCATTCGGCACAACCCTCACACGTGTCGTGGCTCCATGCAGAGCTCCACCGAAGACCCCAGTCGCTGCGTTCGCATGCGCTCGCCGCACCCATTTCGGCACACTTCTTGCACGTTCCGTGGCTCCATAGGGAGCTCCACCGACGGCCCCAGTGGCTGCGTTCGCATGCGCCCGTCGCTCCCATCTCGGCACACCCCTCACACGTCTTGTGGCTCCATAGGGAGCTCCACCGACGGCCCCAGTGGCTGCGTTCGCATGCGCCCGCCGCACCCATTTCGGCACACCCCTCACGCGTATGGAGCTCCACCGACGGCCCCAGTGGCTGCGTTCGCATGCGCTCGCCGCATTCATTTCAGCACACCCTCACACGTTTCGTGGCTCCATAGGGAGCTCGACTGAAGGCCCCAGTGGCTGCGTTCGCATGCGCCTGCCGCGCCCATATCGGTACACCCCTCAAACGTTTTGTGGCTCCATAGGGAGCTCCACCGAAGGCCCCAGCGGCTGCGTTCGCATGCACCCGTCGCACCCCATTCGGCACACCCCTCACACGCCTTGTGGCTCCACAGGGAGCTCCACCGACGGCCCCAGTGGCTGCGTTCGCATGCGCCCGCCGCACCCATTTCGGCACACCCCGCATACGTTTCGTGGCCCCATAGTGAGCTCCACCGACGGCCCCAGTGACTGCGTTCGCATGCGCCCGCCGCAACCATGTCGCTACACCCCTCACGCGTTTCGGGGCCCCATAGGGAGCTCCACCGACGACCTCAGCGGCTGCGTTCGCATGCGCCCGCCGCACTCATTTCGGCACCCCTCACATGCTTCCTGGCCCAATAGGGACTCACACATACATATGGTTGGGTCCTTCGCCAGGCTAACTTTGTATCATCCCCGTTCGCGCCGATGGGGTTCGGCATCGGTGTCGGGGGTCATCGAAAGCTTGAACAAATGAGCCATTGCTGGGCGAGCACAAGACTCCTGGGGGAGGGAGGGGAGGAGGAGGAGGAGGAGGAGGAGGAGGATGAGGAGGAGGAGGAAGAGGAGGGAGGAGGATGAGGAGGAGGAGGAGGAGGTGAAGGATGATGATGATGATGATGATGATGATGATGATGATGATGATGATGATGATGATGATGATGATGATGATGATGATGATGATGATGATGATGATGATGATGATGATGCTGATGATGATGATGATGATGATGATGATGATGATGATGATGCTGCTGCTGCTGCTGATGATGATGATGATGATGATGATGATGATGATGATGATGATGATGATGATGATGATGAGGCAGAGGAGGAGGAGGAGGAGGAGGAGGCGGAGGAGGAGGAGGCGGAGGAGGAGGAGGAGGAGGAGGAGGAGGAGGGCGAAGGACGGGGAGGGGGCAGGAGAAGCGGGGGGGGCAACGAGGAAGACAATTTTCCTCTCCTCGTGTTCACCAGTCGTCCAGGGGTCCCTGGAGTTCCCTGGAGGCCTACAGAGGCCCCCCGAGGGCCATCAAAACGGGGGTCAAACATCGCTTCAAACTTTGGACCCTCGATCCCCCTCCTTCCTCCTCCTCTGTCGTCCTTGCTCCTGCCTCCTCTCTCCTCTCTCCTCCTTCCTCCTCCTCTTCCTCGTCCTCCTCCTCCTCCTCCTCCTCCTCCTCCTCCTCCTCCCTACTCCACTCCCTGCCTCTCTGCCTCCCCCCGATGCCCCTCCTTTGCCCCCCCCTCTGGGCCCCCAGGTGCCTGTCAGCGGTGCCCTCTGGCCGGTCGCTGTCTCCTGTGGAGGTCCGCGGTGGCCCGCAAGGCCAGTGGGGCGTTGACCGGGTGAAGGAGGAGAATCCATGATCGAGGAGGAGGAGGATGAGGAGGAGGAGGAGGAGGAAGAGGAGGAGGGGGAGGAGGACGAGAAGGAGGAGGAGGCGGTGGAGGAGAATGAGGAGGAGGAGGAGGCGGAGGAGGAGGAGGAGGAGGAGGAGGAGGAGGAGGAGGAGGAGGACTAGTGTAAATCCAAGACTCACCAACGATGTTGCAATACACCCTTCGCGCTCCCTCTCCATAGGCCCCTACACGGCCCCGTTGGAAGACAATTGTTTGAAAGTCCGGAATTGTACCAGAGCGCCATTGCTGGGATTTCAACGCCGCGAATTACCGTTGTTGTTGCGTCTTGACGTCCCTGAATCGTGCCCAACACCGCGAATCAACGTGACTGTTGCGCCTGACATTCCGACACCGTGCCAAGAGACCATTTCTGGGGCGTCAACCATAAGACTCTTCGAAACGGCTACATACTCTTACAACGAATATGCGCGGTGTTCAGGCGAGAGCCACCTTTTGAAAAGGAACCGCCCTCCGTCCGTGAACTTGTGGCAACCTTTCTCCTCCTCTCTCCTCCTCCTCCTCCTCTCCTCCTCCTCCTCCTCCTCCTCCTCCTCCTCCTCCTCCTCCTCCTCCTCCCCTCCTCCTCCTCCTCCTCCCCCTCTCCTCCCCCTCCTCCTCCTCCTCCTCCTCCTCCTCCTCCTCCTCTCTCCTCCTCCTCCTCCTCCTCCTCCTCCTCCTCCTCCTCCTCCTCCTCCTCCTCCCCCTCCGCCTCCGCCTCCTCCTCCTCCTCCTCCTCCTCCTCCTCCCCCTCCCCCTCCCCATCCTCCTCCTCCCCCTCTAATGTGCGCGGCGCCAATGCGAGGGCCACGTCTCGAGGAGGAGCCGCCCTGCGTCCGTGCAGCTCCTGCGGCACCCTTTTATGTGCGACGAGCGTGCGCGGCGCGAAGGCGAGAGCCGCATATTTTGAACGCGTTCCGCCCTCCACGTAAGCTCTGAGACAGTCTCGGGCGGAACTCCTGGCCCGCCCTTTCGGCTGGCGCCTCGGGGTGCGACAGGGAGGAGAGTTGTCTATAAGGAGGAGGAGGAGGAGGAGGAGGAGGAGGAGGAGGAGGAGGAGGGAGGATGGAGGATGGAGGATGGAGGATGGAGGAGGATGGAGGAGGGAGAGGAGGAGAGGAGGAGGGGAGGAGGGGAGGAGGAGGAGGAGGAGGAGGAGGGAGGAGGAGGAGGAGGAGGAGGGAGGAGGAGGAGGGGGACGGAGTTGGTGGAGGAGAAGGAGGATGTCGGACCAGGAGGACGAGGAGGAGGAGGAGGTGGAGGAGGATGGAGGATGGAGGAGGATGGAGGATGGAGCAGGAGGAGGATGTACAGGTAGAGGCGCTTGAGGAGGTGAGCCGAATCTTTGCAACTCTTACTCGCCCTGCAAGTGCACACGGAGGCAGGGCCATTCCCAAGAGCTCCAGTGGCCCAGCCCGCGGGAGCGCCTGGCCTTCCCTGACCACCTTCCCCCACTCCCGCGCACTGGTCGTCAGGGCGAGGGCCTCGCTTCGGCGGGTGCTCCAAGACCCTCCGAAGCCCGAACATGGAGAGCTAACCAGCTGAGCCCTCTGGCGGAGGAAGAGGCTCTCCTGGCCCTGGCTGAACTGGGGCCCAGTTGGAATGGGCCCCAGCGAACGGTCCCCGGTTGAACTGGGCCCGGTTGCTTTGGGCCCTGGCTGAACTGGGCGCGGCTGAATTGGGCCCTGGATGAACTGGGCCCGGGCCCAAGCTCAAATGGGCCCAGATGACCTGGGCCCCAGATGATCGATGAACTGGGCCTGGGAGCGTCCAGCTGCGTCGCTCGGCGCGTTGTTTTATTTTAAATTATTTTATGTTGTTTATTTTAAGTTTAAATTTATTTTAAGTTTATTGTTATCTCTCGAGGCTGTCTTGGGCAGGCTAGGGGCCCTCTCAGGGCTTTCATTTGTTCGATGGCAGCAAGTGTAGTGATGTTCGACAAAAGCGTGGAATGCGACAACAAATTGATCATTTACAGGAACATACATGTTTTTGGGCTCTCCTGTAGAACGTCTTGGGGGTGCTTCGAAGCCTCTTGGAGGCCTCTTGGGATTTATTTGGGCGTTTGAGGGCTGCTGAGTGCCTCTTGAGACAAGGTTGGGCCATCAGGACGGCCTTGGTGGCCTCCCTTGGACGTCTTGCAAGCCCAGAAAAGGTTTGGAGAGAGACGGAAGAGGGCCTTGATGATTGACATGAACCCTGCCAGGCAGCGCTTGGCAGGCTACCACGCCTCAACGTTGCAGGGTACGCAGTGGCGGATAAGACTGGGGAATCTGCGACTTGTTCGAGCTCGAAGAGGCCGCGGCCCAGACGCGCTCCATGCGGCGCAGAAGTTTGATGACTAGTTTGGCCCACGTCGGATCGACATGCGCGCATTGTGTGCCGTGCGTGCTTGAGGTAATTGTCGGCCTGACATGTGCGCCCATACTACGTAGATAGAAATTTCGAGTTGCATTTGTATATATTCTCAGCCTGTTTTGCTTCGCAAGAATAGAAGCTGACGGTGAACACCAAGGGGTCTGACACACCAGCCGCTGCATTGCGCGGTGGCATTTGTTCCTTGCCGCCCAAAGTGCAAGGTTTGTCTTGAATCGTGACCATGCAATAGAGTCATTTGCTCCTGACGGCCCCTCGCTTTTCCTGGTTCAGGCTGTGCTGGCTCACATTCCCGAGGCGTGCCAGAGGCGTCGATGGGGCCTCTCCCATCCCAGCCCCCATCGATCCCCTGAGATTTGTACGCCACCTGGCGCCGTGGCCAGGAGCCACGGCGTGATACCGCTGCTCGCCGCCCGGCGGGCGGCCGCGTGCTGCGAGGATGAGCCCCCCGACCAGCAGGGACCTGCACCGCCTCCTGCGGAAGCCGCCGGAGATCCGCACGCAGGAAGACGTCAGGGCGATCTCGGAGGGCGTGCGCGGAGTGTCCTTCTTCGAGCAGCTGGACGCGGGGGTGCGGCAGAGCTGCTGCGGTGCACTGAGGCACCAGTTCGTCGAGGGCGGCCACACGATCTTCAAGGAGGGCGACGCGGGCTCCCTCTTCTACGTCGTGCTCAACGGCGCGGTGGGCGTGTACGTCCGTGACCTCTCGCTGGACGAGGTACCGGACCCAGAGGAGGCCCAGCGGGCGGCGGCGGCGGAGGCCCAGCGGCAGAAGCGGGAGGAGGAGCGGCAGAGGCGGCTGCAGCAGCAGCGCATGAGCAGGCTGAGCCACCGCGTCTCCGTGTCCGCGGGCATGGGGCTGGTCAACGCGACCCGCGCCAGGATTGACGAACCAACAACACACACCCATACCCATAGAGGGGTCGGAGAGGGCTATGGGTGCGTGTTGTCGGATGGGGGTCCCCGCTCGAACGGGAGCGTTCTCCAGGGTCCGACAACCCGCACCCATACCCATAGCCAGTCCTCCTCCCAACGACCCCCCTATGGGTATGGGTGTGTGTTGCTCGTTCGTCAAGGATGCAGGGCACGCTGTGCGCGCTCCAGGAGGAGGCCTCCGACCCGTCGGAGGACACCGACGGGGAGCGCGAGGAGGACGCGGAGGACGCCCCTGGCGGCCCGGCGGCGGCCGCCGGTGCGCCGCGCAGCGAGGCCAGGCCCGCGCGGCGGGCCACCGGCACGCACTGGCGCCTCGCGGCGTTCCGCGTCCGCGCGGTGGCCCGCCTTCGGAGTGGCCTCTCGCCTCTGCCGGCGGGCCTGAAGCAGGTCGCGACCTTCCGGGGCGGCGACGCGTTCGGGCAGGCGGGCGGCGCCAGAGGTAAGTCGGGCCTGTCCCCCTACAGGGGGATTTTCGACGACAAATAAAGAATACCCCCCAAATAATAAAAAATAATACAAAAATAGTCTGGGGTCTATTTTTTGAGTATTTGTTGACCTTTTTGGGCATTTTTGGGGTATTTTTAATGATTCGTCGAAAATCCCATTGTAGGGGGACACGCCCGACATAACGCCAGAGAAAACGGGGTCTCAGTTCTTGCCCGCAACAGGGAGACAACATCGCGGCCTCGACGAAATATGCTTTCATGTCGCTTGGATGTCTGTGTCGCTCGTGTCCGAGGTGGGTGCCGCCGCTTCTGCGTCCCAGCCGGGGGAGTGGGGCCCACAGCCACCCATGAAGCGCGCGAGTCTTTTTATCATACTTTTTTCGCCCGGGCCGTCTTTGCCGGCATTCGCGCGTCAGCGTCCCGCGCAAGGTCGCGCGTAAGCGCCCTCGTTTCCAGTTTGGCGTGCCGCGCCGGCGGCCCGCGTAAGCCGCCGCGCAAGGTCGCCATGCCATCTCGCGCATGACCCGCGCCTTTTCGTCGCCCAGGTGGCACTGCAGATGGACTCGCCGCGCACCGCTACCGTCCGGACGCTGGCGGCCACGCACTTCGCGGTGCTCCGCAGGGAGGATTACCAGAACATCCTCGCCGGGGCCTTCGAGAGCGAGCGGTGTGAGCGCTTTCAGTTTCTCTCAGCGGCGGCGACATCCCCGCAGCCGAATTTCTTCTCCTCCTGGTCGGTGCCCTACCTGACTAGGATCTGTTCGGTGATGCACCGGAGGGAACTGCGCAAGGGCCAGGTGCTGTTCGACATCGGCTCGTCCACGGTGCAGGTTTATTTCGCCCACGGTGGGGAGTTCTCCTTGTGCAGGCCGAGGAGGAACATCATCTCAAACTTACACTCTCGGAGGCCCGCGCGGATTTCTGTTGATCGGTGCTGGACCTTCTCCTTGTCGCGCGCAGCAGCGCCAGGGTGCACCGATCTTGGCCCCAGGCTCGGTGCATATACCTTCCTGGCCAAGGTCTGAGGGCGCATGCTCCGATCCTGGGCTCAGGCTTGGCCTGGCCAGAATCGGTGTGTCTGCATGGTTCCCTTTCCTCTACCAGGGGCGGCGCCAGGGTCGGCGCCAGGGGAGTCGACCTCGCCGATCCAAGAAACGTGCGCGGATCTCCAGGAGTGTACGCTTAGGCCGATCTTACCTCTTCGGACGAGGCCCGTGGAGGCTGTGGAGCCGCCTGTGGGGCCTGAGGCCGCGCAGCCCCCCTCCAAGGGCCGAGGTCTCCCCTGCGGTCGCGACGACGGCAACGGCCACCACTGCGAGGACGGCGCGGCACCGGGGCCCGCGGGCACCTCTGCGGAGGCGCTCCATGGCTGGCGCCTGGGGCGTCGACGGCTCTGGTGCACGGTGGGGCTCGTGGCACCGCCGCACGCGCTCGGTCTCTCGGCGAACCTGGCCGGCTCCCGGACGCACTCCGAGCGCGCGGTGTGCCTCTCCGTCATGGGCTGCGTCTACGGCGTGCTCGCGAAGGAGCTGGTGGGCTGCCTCGACGCCCGGGCGCGCGCGCTGGCGGTGCAGGGCGCCTCGGCGCAGCAGGCCTCCCTCGACAGCCGCGCTCGCTCGCTCGCGCGCCTGGCTCGGGCCTCTGCCGCCCCCGCGGCCGCCGCGGCGCAGGCCGCCGCCGCCGGACGGCCTGGGCCAGACTGGGCTGGAGCCTACTCCTCGGAGGGCCGCCTGGCGCTCCTCGCCGGCGGGTGCCCGCAGCCCCTGCGGCCGCCCGACAGGCGCCGCGGCCACCAGGCGGCGGCGGCGGCGGCGTCCGCGGGCCCCCTGGCGGGGCCGCCAGGCAGGCCCGCCCCCGACGCCGCGGTGTGCCCCGGCTGCCCACTGGGGGAGCTGCTGCGTCTCCCCGCCGCGCCCGTGGTGCGCTGCCGGCGGCGCCCGCCCCCGCGGGGCCCCCAGCGCGGGGGCTGGCAGGTGTCTCGGTGGTGCCAGTGCTGCGACGGCCCCACGTCGGGGGCGGCGGCAGCGGATGCCGTGCCACCAGGGGCTGTGGCTGACCTCGCGGCCGGCGCGCCACTGGTGCTGCCGGCGCTCCCGGATGCAGTGGGCGAGTGCAGGGAGCCTCCAGGAGCCGCGCCCAGGGTCGCCGCCCTCTGGGCGGTGGCTCCACATGCTGCCTCGGAGCACGGTTCTGTAGCCTTCGCCGCAAGCGCGCCCGAGGCGCGCCCACCGCCTCTAGTGGCTGCTCCAAGGCACCCCGCTGCCGCCAGCGCGCCAGCGTCGTCTCAGGAACGAGCGACCTGGGACACGGATGGGCCTGCCGCGACAGACTCGGCAGCGTGTGCGCTGTGGGCGCTGCCCGTGCTTGTGAAGGACCACGGGCAGACTTGCAGCGTAAGCGTGCGTACCTGCAGCGTAGTCATGCCCCCTCCCTCCTGCTGCTCCTTACCCGGACATGCGATGTCCTGTTTTTTCAAGTGCGCGGTCCCCGGAAGTAAGTCCCGATCCCTTCCCCAGGACCGGCCTTCCATTCTGAGCCGTTTTTTGACGGCCCTGGGGCCCGCCTAAGGGCCCCAGAGGCCTAAAACGACCAACCCCCCCCGTCCTGATTTTGACGACGCGGGCATGTCTGGGTCTCCCCCCTGCCGTGTTGCAGACCCCGCTCGCGCAGGAGGCGCCGCCCCCGCCGGGGCCCGCGCCCGGCGGCGGCGCAGGGCCCGGCCCGCTGCCCCGCCTGCTCGGCAGCGCCCCCTGCGGGCAGGAGACTGTTTTTTTTAGGGTCCGGCGATAGCCCGGGTTATCGGGTTTGCCCCTCCCTCCCCCTGCAGGATAACCTAACCTTGCCGGTTGTGCAGGTCCGGGGTGGAGGGGCGCGGGCCTATGCAGGGCTGCCCACAGCGCGAAGGTTAGGTTATCGGCTGGCCCCCTCCTCCCCCCCAGATAACCCTGGTCCAGACCCCCGACGTCATGATTTTTTCATGACGTCGACCCCAGCAGTCTGGACCCATTCCCCGGGATCGGTTTTTCGTCCTGACTCGTTGTTTGACGGTCCCGAGGGCCGGTAAGTGCCCCCAGAGGCCAAAAATGATGAAACACCTCCCGTCGTGGTTTCTTCATAACTCGAGGGGGCCTGGGAAGTATCGCCGATTCGGGAACAAGACGGCCCCCAGGGCCGCGGCAAGGAGGCCGCGCCTGCGCCCCCTGTGCCGGCCGCCTGCCCAGCGGCCGCCGGCCCCGTGGCCGCCGGCCCCGCGGCCGCCGCGCTGCTCGAGGCGCTGCTCGGCGCTGCCCGGCCCGCCGGCGCCGCGCAGCGCCCGGAGGCCCGCGCGCGCCTGGCGGCGGCGGCGCTCTTCGGCGTGCGCGCGGCCGAGGGCCCCGCGGGCGGCCGGCGGCAGGCCGGCGGGGCCGCTGCCGCGTGAGGGCCGTTGCGGCGCGAGTCGGCGGCGCCTCGCCCGAGCGGCACCGGTGGGGCCTATCGGGCCGGACGAAAGGGGGGGATTGGGAAAGGTCGGGAGGGGAAAAAGCACACAGACACAATTCATCGTCGACCCCCCACATCATTCAGGCACAGCGGCAGGCCGACGGGGCCGCTGCTGCGTGAGGGCCGCTGCTGCGCGAGTCGGCGGCGCCTCGCCCGAGCGGCACCGGTGGGGTCTATAGCCAGGGCCCCCGGTTGAGGGGAGCCGGTCCCAGACCCCCTCGAGTTATGGAAAAATCACGAAGGGAGGTTTTTCATTATTTTTGGCCTTCGGGGCCCCTTGCCAGTCCCCGGGACCGTCAAAAAACGACTCAGGACGAAAAACCAGTCCCGAGGAAAGGGTCCAGACCATTGGGGTCGACGTCATGAAAAATTCATGACGTCGGGGGTCTGGGGTTATTGGGCCCTGAAGCCCAAAGCATGGACTGGAATCACTGAGCCAGGTCTGCCGTAGCCGGTGTTTTTCGGGCGACGGCAATTCCGGTCAGTGGAACGGGATGGGGGGTGGCGTCCCCCAGTACACAACACTAAACCAGGTCCCACTAAACCCAGCTCTGCCAACGCCCGAACTGGTCAGCTTCGACCGTGGCCCGGCCCGAGAGGGTGAAGTCGGGCAGGTCCCCCTGCAGGAGGAACTTGCCCCAAAGTAGTCAAAGAAACAGCCTGGGGACGATGTGTTGACTATTTCTGACACCCAGACCCCCGACGTCATGATTTTTTCATGACGTCGACCCCCGCGGTCTGGACCCTTTCCCCGGGACCGGTTTTTCGTTCTGAGTCGTTTTTTGACGGTCGCGAGGGCCGGTAAGGGCCCCCAGAGGCCAAAGATAATGAAACACCTCCCGTCGCGATTTTTTCATAACTCGAGGTGGTCTGGGCAGCTGTTGAGCCTTTTTTTCATCGCCCCAGAAAATCGCCTGCAGGGTGACAGGCCCGACCTCACCCGAGAGTCGGCCCAAATCACCCCCCCCAGTTGGGGGATACACCCCTCGAAACCCGAAGGGAACGGCCTATATCCCCATCCAGGGGGGGCCCAGGCCACGCCGCTGGGACGGGGATCGGTGAAACGATACTCATGACCGGCCCTCGGGACCGCCCACAGGCGACCCAGAGACCCAGCGCGTTGAAGAAATTCAGACGGAAGCTGTTGGCAGTTTTCGGCCTCTGGCGGCCCTCGCTGGGCACCGTCACCGTCAAGAAAGACTCAGGATGAGAAACGGGTCCTGGGGAAGAATTGGTCGAGATTTCGGGTACCCCGCACTGAAAAAATCACGACGTCGGATCTCTGGGGACTCGGGACGAACATCGACTAGACGTGAGAAGGACCCTTCGCCGGAGTGACCTTTGTTGCGGGCCCATGGGATGCGTGACTAGCGTCTGGCGCGCTCGTGTTCGGCCCGGGCGCGATGGTGGAGGCGGGGGGTGGAGGTGGAGCATGCCGGTGAGTGCACTGGAGGCCTCTTGCTCTGCTCCGCCATGAACCAGCCCCAGACCCCCGACGTCATGATTTTTTCATGACGTCGACCCCCAGCGGTCTGGACCCATTCCCCAGGATCGTTTTTTCGTCCTGAATCTTTTTTTGACGGTCCCGAGGGCCGGTAAGGGCCCCCAGAGGCCAAAAATTATGAAGAACCTCCCGTCATGATTTTTTCATAGTTCGAGGGGGCCTGGGAAGAGAGATCCTTCCTTCGCCAGAGCAACCTCTGGTGCGAGGCCTTCGGGGGAGGGGCGGGGCGGGCGCGGGGGGACCAAGCCCAAGCGCGCAGGCCGCTGGTGTCGCGTCGCGTGCAACGACCGGGAAGCCCCGCACCGAAGGCTACGGTAGGTTCGCGTCGCGTCGACCGGCGGCGACCCCGCCGCGGGTGTTCGACGCTGAACGCCAGCGGCGGCCCAGAGTCGGTCGATCTTGTCGGGCCGAGCGAAAGGGGGGGGGATTGGGAAAGGGGGGGCTACGAAATTTGCTGCATGCAGCTGGTTTCGGCGTCACCGAGGGGCCCATTCCTCGAGACATAGCCGCCTCTGGCGCCGGGAGGCGCCTGGAAAGTCAGCTACGTGAGCCGATTCTCAGCCCCCCCCTTTGCTATCCCCCCCTTTCGCCCGAGTCGATCTTGCGCGATCGGACGTGGCGGAAACGGCCGATTCGTTCAAGGTGGAACGATCCCCGCGGCGTCGGGGACCGACGCCAGGCCGGCACGGCACGAGCCTGCCGCACGCTGGCCCAGAGTCGCTCTAGCTCTGGAAGGGAAAAAGCACACAGACACAATTAATCGTCGATTCCCCAGAAGATATGGGAAAATATGGGAAGTGGGGGGAAGACGAAAACCCAGAAAATATGGGAAAATATGGGGAATCTTTTTATCTGTGTGTATTTATTTGTGTGTCCCGGGGCCCCTTCACTAGCGTGCAACCGATCCTGCTCGTCTGCAGCGTTCTGTGGCCTTCGGGGGCCCCCGTCGCCACCGCCAGGCGCAGCACGTGAATTGCCAGGAGCCAGCTCGAGCGGATTTCCGTCGGGGCGGGGGCAGGTCACAGTGGAAACCCATGCGCCAAGAAGCACCCTGCTTGCCTCCAGGGTGCCCTGGGTTTCTTGGGCTCCGAGGGTTTTGCCGTGGAGAGCGTGACGTTCCCACACCAAGAATCGATGGACGTCCTGGGGTCTCAGGGTTTCTTGTGGTCGAGCTCCTCCTGTAAGGGATGCGGCCTTCTAAGATTGCGCCCCGCCTCTTAGAAGCCCTCCCGCCTCCGCTCTTAGACGCCACTACCAAGGGGCAGGGCTCTTCTGAGAGGCTCACTGCCTTCTCAGAAAGGTCCCACTCCCCCTGTCCCCTTCTGCGCACCGCTAGCTGAAAGCACCCAGGCGGTTATCCCCAGCGCGCCGAAGCTGGCGCGGGCACATCTGGGGTCAAGCAGGGCCCCTGATGTGCTCCCAGCTGCGCCTTTTTTTTCTTCATCGTCCTACTCCGACTCATCCTGCTACTTCCTCCTTGTCCCCCCTCCCCTCCGCTCCCTCCCCCTGCTTTTCCTTCCTTCTCTTACTCCACCCTCATCCTCGTCCTCGTCCTTGTCCTCCTCATCTTGCTCGTCCTACTAATCCCCTCATCTCCTCATCCTCCCTTGTCATGTTCATTATCCTCATGTTACATTCGTCCTCGTCTTCCTCGACGCCCTCTTCGTCCTCATACTCGATGGCTGCCCCTCATCCATGTCTTCGCTCCATTTCTCTTGCTCTTCCTCGTTGTCGTCGTCGCCGTCGCCGTCGCCGTCGCCGTCGCTGTCGACTTCGCCGTCGCCTTCGCCGTCGTCGTCGTCGTCGTCGTCGTCGTCGTCGTCGTCGTCGTCGTCGTCTTCGTCGTGGTCGTCGTATTCGTAGTCGTAGTCGTAGTCGTCGTAGTCGTCGTCGTCGTCGTCGTCGTCGTCGTCGTCGTCGTCGTCGTCGTCGTCGTCCTGGTCATCGTCGTCCTGGTCATCGTCGTCGTTGTCGCCCTCCGTCTTTTGCTTACCCTGCTCCTGTCTTGTCAAATGTTGCTCGCAATCGACGAGCAACATGCTCTGAGGCACCGGGATAGCTGGCCACCGCGTCCAGGAGCCACCAGCATCAGTACCACCATCGCCATCCCCGTCGTAAACGCCATCGCCATCTTCGTCACCATCGCCATCGCCATTGCCGTTGCCATCGCCGTCGCCATCGCCATCGCCATCATCATAATCCTCTTCGCCCTCCTCCTCCTCCTCCTCCTCCTCCTCCTCCTCCTCCTCCTCTCCTCCCTCCCCTCCCTCTCCCTCTCTTCCTCCCCTCCCCTCCCCTCCCCTCCCCTCCCCTCCCCTCCCCCTCCCCTCCCTGCTCCCCCCCTCCCAGCTGCTTTCCAGACTCCGGCTCTGGTGCCGCTGCCAGAGGCATCGGTGGGCTCTCTGGACAGCGGCCCCACGCGCGCAGACCCCGGGCCGCGCGCGCTCGGCTCCGGGCGCCTGCGGCGCTGCGGCGACGGGGCTCGGCCGCGGCTCCCCGAGCCCCCCTCGCCGCCGCCGCCCGCCCGGGTGCCGGGCGGCTGCGGCGCCGCGTGCCGGAGCTGGCCTTGCACGGGCGAGCGCGGGTCGCGCGTGCGAGCGCCCGCGCCGCTGCTGCGCGCGGCCGCCGCGGCCAGGCGCCGCGGTCTGCACCACGCAGCGCCTGGCCTGCCCTGCAGGGGCGCGGTGCAGGGCTCGGCCGTCCGCGGTGCCGGAGGAGGCGAGGGCGGCTGGCGCGGCGGCGAGGGCCAGCGTGGCGTGCCCAGCGGCAAGGGCGTCCCCATGGTACGGCCGCCGCCGCCGCCGCCTGCGCGGCCACCGCCTGCTTGCTGGTTGGTGCCCGGAGTGTGGCATGGCCAACGCCGTGGCCTTGCTCATTTGCACCACGTGCTGTCCACCGCCAGCCGGAGCCCCTCGGCACGGAACCGCACAGCCGGGGATGCCTGAAGGAGCTGGTGACCACGAAGGCAACGGCCAGAGGAGGAGGCGTGACACGTCGCAGAACGGCAAGCGACGGCACAGGTCGCAGGGCGGCAGGCGACGTGACAGGTCGCAGTCGAGAGCGAGATTCGAAGGGTCTGGGCGTGATGCTGAGAATGGTCGTGAGTCAGGAGGCGATGGCACACTGGGGCCGCTTGGCATTTTGCCAGCCCTGCCTCGTGGAGCGCGTGCACACTCGTCGTGGATCGAGGCGCCCGCTGGCCCACGCGAGCTCCCAGCTACGGGGCGTGAAAACGACCACAGCCAGTACTTTTTCTTTTGTTGCCGCCTTCCAGCCCGCAGAAACAAAGCAGTGGTTGTGGTCATTTTCGCTGAGCTTGGCACCAGGGAAATGACCACAACCACTGCTCCTCTTTCGGCCGGCTGGAAGGCGGCGCAAACAAGAAGCAGTGGCTGTGGTCATTTCCAGTCCCGCACCAGCCTATCGCAAGTCACTGCGACATATGGCGGCAGCTACGGGCAACAGACCCAAGGCCGCCAAGGAGCTCGGCATGACCGAGGAGCATGTGGGCCCCAGGAAGAGGAGCATGCGGTGATGCTATGTGTGTGATCATCACCGCCCGCAGCCTTGCGACTGACAGCGCACATGCGTGAAGAGGGCAGAGTCTAAGCTTGAAAGGTCCTTCGGCACCGTCGCGGCCAGCAGGCAGAAGCTCGAGGAGGCAGAAGCCAAGTACGTGCGGAGGAGGAGGAGGAGGAGGAGGAGGAGGAGGAGGAGGAGGAGGAGGAAGGAGGAGGAGGAGGAGGAGGAGGAGGAGGAGGAGGAGGAGGAGGTGCAGGAGGGGCTGGGCGGCGGCGGCGGCGGAGGGCGGAGGAGCGCGCCAGCGCCGCCGTTACAGGCGGGCCCGGGCGACCGCCGCCGTCGCCGCGGCGGGCGCCGCGGTGGCCGCCAGAGGTGCTGCGCTTCCTGGAGGCGGACGGCGCCGCCGCGGCCCCCGTGGGAGGCCCTGGCGGGGGCGGGGGCGGGGCGGGGCCTCCCGGGCTGGGAACAAAAGTTAGAAGGGTTTTCCGCCATTTTCGCCCCCCCTGGGGCCCTTGCCAGGCCTCGGTGCCGTCAACAAAAACGACCCGGGAGGAAAACCCGGGCCTGGGGAAAGGGTCCAGACCTCTGGGGGTCGACGCTGTGAACCAAAATCGCGACGTCGGGGGTCTGGGGAGGGAGGGGGGCCTGAGATCCTGGCGTCGCAATTTCTTCGCACCCGGCGTCTCCTCCCGGTTTCGGGCCTGGGGGCCATCGCATATCGATCTGGTTTGAGAATTAACGCAGAGAGATCGCGTCTGGGGCTCCGGTCGGGATCTTTTGAGATGCTGCATTTTTCCTTGTGCATCGTCGGACCTCAGGGGAAGGAGGAGGGAGGTGAGGGGGGGTGCAGGGGGGCGATGGAGGGAGGAGGGAGGGGCGCGGTGGGGCAGGGGAGGTGTCGGGCGATCGGGCGGAGCGAGGGAGAGATGGGGAGGGGGGGCGGGCGAGGAGGGGGGACGGAGGGGGAGGAGGAGGGCGAGGAGGGTTGGTGTTGGTGAGGGGGGAGGCGGACGGTGCCGCCGCGGCATTCGGTGGAGGCCCGAGGGGGGGGTATCGAAATTCTTGGACGAGTGTCGATTTGTTCTTCTTCGAGGATGTTGGAGAGTTCATTCCCCAGTGAGGCTTGCCTGGAGGGGTTCTTACTCGGTCAAGAAGAAGGGTGTCTCGGGGTGCTACTTGGCTCGTTCCCCAGAGATTCCTCGGGTTCCTCGGGTTGCTCGGGTTCCTCGGGTCAGGTTCCTCGGGTTCCTCGGGTTCCTCGGCAATGCCAAGCAATGCCAAGCAACGCGCCCGTGCAGCAGGAAGCTTTCCTCTAATTGTGGTCTCGGCGGGTTGTTCAAAACGTACGGGAGGCATCCACTGCCTCCCTAACGTTTTTGTGCCCTCGAGGGCATCCCCTTCGAGGACGTTGGACGTTTACAACGTTTCAATTCCTCCGGGAGCCTCTTCGTCGTCACGGCTGGGTTCCTCATCCTGCGACAGGTCGAAGGGTTGATTTTTGAGGGAGGAAGGGGGAGGGGGAAAGGGGGAGAGGGAGAGGGGGAGGAGGGAGGAGGAGGGGGAGAGGGGGATCGACCGAATCGTGCCAGCGTGTTTCGTTAATTTCGGCCTTTGCCGGCTGACTTTGAGCCCCAGTGCGGTAAAAGCTCGTTGCAGGATGGAAGCTCGGCCAAGAGGGACTCCAGGAAGGGGGTTCCGGGGACCAGTTTTGAGCGTACGGAGGCCGGGAGGCCAGGAGGAGGCCAGGAGGAGGAGGAGGAGGAGGAAGGACGAGGACTAATGAGGAGGAAGGGGAGGAGGGGGAGGAGGAGGAGGAACCTACGGTCAGGAACTTTGGCTCAGCGTGTCGATGTGCCAGCTCTGGCTCACCACGCTTCGGTGCGACACGCTGGTCACTTCTCGGCCCCCCAGCGCTGCAGCGTCCCGAAGCCTTTCCCGGCCTCCCGCCCCGCGGAGCGGAGCGACAGGCTATCGGTGGGCAAGGTATAGCGTATAGCGTGCCGCTGGGGCCGCCGCCGCGACATGCTGTGCGAGAATTCCCGGTGGTAGCCCTCGGGCGACGTTTGTTTCGTCCCCGTGCGAGGTCTTTTCTCTCACGAGGCCCTGTTCGGACCCTGGGACCACCAACAAACGACCCAGGATGAAGATCAGGAGGGAAAGAAACACACAGACACAATTAATCCTCGATCCCCCAGAAAATATGGGAAAATATGGGCAGTGGGGGAAGACAAAAACCCAGAAAATAAGGGAAACTATGGGGCATCTTTTTATTTGTGTGTATTTATTTGTGTGTCCTGGGGCCCCTTCAGAGATGTCCTCGGGGGGTCTCCCCCAAGGTCCCAGGATGAGCAGGAGCTGGCGACCCGAAGAAATTACGGCCCGCAGGCTTGTCGCATGTTGCGGCGCCTGTGGAGAGCTTCCGGCAAGAGCAAACCAACTTCCTGGGACAGGGCCGAGAGCTCCGGGCGAGGAAAAGAGGGCGGACTTCTCTGGCGGAGCTCGGCGACATGGCGCCTCTCTGGATGCATCCCCGAGGGGCATCCAGGGACTTCCAGGGACCTCCAGGGACGTGCACCCCCCCCTGGAACCGTGCCGCAACCCCAGACCCCCGACGTCATGATTTTTTCATGACGCGACCCCCAGAGGTCCAGACCCATTCCCCGGGACCGGTTTTTCATCCCGAGTCGTTTTTTGACGGTCCCGAGGCCCGGTAAGGGCCCTCAGAGGCCGAAAATAGCGAAAAACCTCCCGTCGTGATTTTTTCACGACTCGAGGGGTCTGGGACTCTCGCAGGTCGTGCCGACGAATCGTCCGGGGGCACTTCATGGGGGTCGACTTTCCTCCCGGGCACGCCGCCCACTGTCCTTGGGGCCTCGCCGCGGCTCCCCGGGGGGCCGAGGCCCGACTGCGGCCCTCCCCGGAGGCCGAGAGCCGACGGAGCAGCGAGGGCGACGAGAGCAGACCCATCGACGGCGAACGCTGCACTGCTTCTCCTCCTCCTCCTCCTGCTCCTCGACCCTAGCTCCTCGATCGTCCTCCTCGATCCTCCTCCTCCTCCTCCTCCTCCTCCTCCTCCGCCCAATCCTCCTCCTCCTCCTCCTCCTCCTCCTCCTCCTCCTCCGCCCAATCCTCCTCCTCCTCCTCCTCCTTCTCCTCCTCCTCCCCGGCCCTGCCCGCCGTGATCCCACGGGTGGGAGGGTGGGGTGTCTGTTGACGTCTGCGGTTATGCTGTTCCAGCCTGCTTTAGCCTTGATCGCCAGGAAGAATGTCGAGCGCCAGAAAAGTGCCGAGAAGCTCGAGGGTTTCCACGCGTCGGGCCCTGGGAGACACTCGCCCGACACTGCTTCGACACTCTGGACGCCCGAAATGGGTACGGAAAGAGTGGGTACCATGCCCAACAGCAGTTCCTGTTCATTTTGAACTGGACTCGCTGTCCGCGCCGCCGCGGCCTGTGTCCACTTGAGACAGAAGGCCGCCTGCCCAACAGCGGCCGCTGTTGGTTTGGGACAACATTTGTTGTTGGGCATTGTACCCATTCTTTCGGTACCCATTCCGGGTGTCCAAAGACACTGCTTCGGCACTCTCTCGACACTCTTCCGGATGCTCGAGCTCATTCTTCTGGGATGTGGTCCTTAAGTGCGATGGGAGCAACACAAGTCTGGGGGGCCCGGCGAGGCCGCCCACCCATCTGTGCACGCCTGGCGCCCACTGGAGCGCGGCGTCCGCCAGGCAGAGTCTCACCTGGGCCTGCGGGGGGAGGGGGCGGTCGCCACGGCCGGATCCGTCTGGCGAGGTCTTGGTCGGAGCGCGGCCCGGAGCATAGTTCCCCATGGAGAGGGGTCCTTTATCATTGCTTGGGCGCCTCCGGCTCCTTCTGCCCCCCTCCCCCTCCTCTTTCTCACCCAGGCTCCATCACGCTCAGACTTCACACTCAGGCTCACTCATCACACTCAGACCCACTCCACTCGTAGTCACTTGCGCTCAGACTCGCTCACACTCAGACCCACTCACACGCAGACCCGCTCATACTCCGACTCATCCATACTCAGACCGACTCACGCCCTGACTTATTCACGCTCAGACTCACTCACACTCATACTCGCCCACACTCAGACTCATTCACTCACACTCAGACTCACTCGTACTCGCACTCACTCGGACTCAGATAGGTGGGTCTGAGTCATACCCACCCATCATAATCTATCATCCTCACACACAGATCGCGAGGATGTCTCGAGCGAGGGGCTGGTTTCAGAACCCCAGGGGGGAGCCGCCAGGGGGTATTTCACGGGCCCGTTCGCGGCCAGATGGTGGGGATGTCTCAGGCGGTTTCTCTGTTTCGGTGCTCAGAGTCATATGCTTTCAGAGCAGCGTTTGAGAATGTCTCGAGCGAGGCGCTGGTTTCAGAACCCGAATGGGGTCGCCAAGGGGTATTTCACGTGCCCGTTCGCGGCTAGATTGTGGGGATATCTCAGGCGGCTTGCCTGTTCCGATGTCCCGAGCGAGGCGCCGGTTCCAACACTTCCCATGGGGGAGCCGCCATGGGGTATTTTATGGGTTTGTTTGAGGCTGGATTGTGGGGATGTCTGCGAATTTCCTGTTTCGGTGCTCAAGCTCGTCTGCTTTCGCAGCATACTGTGAGGATGTCTCACGCGATTTGCTGGTTTCGGCATCTCAAGGGGCCAATGCCTCAGGCGCTTTGCCTGTTTGGTGGTTTGGACTCCTCGGCTTTCACGGCAGACCGTGGGGATAGCTCGCACGAGGCGCTGGTTTTTGCACTGCGGGGGTGTCTCAGGCGATTTGCCTACTTGGTGGCCGCGGGGAGCGTTCTGACCCCTGAGCCGCCCGCACCGTCCTCGTTTTCCTTTGGCCGCGTCCCTCCTCCCTCCTCCTCTTGCATGGTTGCAGAAGATGCTCCAACGGAATCCCCGCTTATGCCTTTCTCGCCAGCGCAGTCGCCCTCTGCCTAGCCGCCCGCGCCAAGAAAGCGTGTTGTGGCCGAGACCCCCTGGCTTTTCATTGCAGATTGCCAGGGCTCTTGAGATCGGACGAAGGCATCTATACACCACCACCGTGTCAGGCCAGGGCCACCCTGGGCCCCAGGATGGTGTATGTGGCCCTCCTGGCCTCGGCCAGGAGGGCGCATACACTATGCCAGGGCCAGGATGGCCCTGGCAGGGCACGGCGGTGGTGTATAGATGCCTTCAGCGTATGAGAGGGGCCGTTGGCTTCAGGTCCCCCGAGAGGGGGAGACGGCGGCGGCCCGCTCGCGGCCACGTCGCGGGGAGGCCTCGAGCGGTTCGCCTTGTGAGGCGGCTTGGACTCCTCGGCGGCTCGGAGCAGACCTGTGAGGGTACCTCGAGCGAGATGCTGGTCATGGCACCCCAGTGTGGAGCCGCTAGGGACGGTCGCATTCGGTTGTTTGCGGTCGGACTGTGGAGATGTCCCGAGCGAGGAGGAGGAGGAGAAGGATGAGGAGGGGGAGGAGGAGGAGGAGGAGGAGGAGGAGGAGGAGGAGGAGGAGGAAAAGGAGGAGGCGGAGGAGGAGGAAGAGGAGGAGGCGCTCGTTTTGCTCTTCCGACTCCTGTCCATTCAGAGCCCCCTGTTAGCCTCGATCTACAGAGGAGGACGTCCGTCAGGAAGGAGGCGGGAAAACGGAGGAAGACGAAGGAAGACGCGAGAGCAAGGAGAAGGGACGAAGGGGGAAGATAAGGGAGGAGCTACGACGACGAGGAAGAGAAGCAACAGAGGAAGAGGCCGCCAGGGAGAAGGACACTTACCAGGGAGGAGAAAGGAGGCGTGATGACAGAGGAACAGGGATAACGAGGTGGACAGACGATCACGCATGAGGACAGAGAAGGACGGCCGCCAAGGAGGAGAAGGAGGAGGAGGAGGAGGAGGAGGAGGAGGAGGAGGAGGAGGAGGAGGAGGAGGAGGAAGAAGGGAGAGGAGGGCGCAGGACGAGGGAGAAGGGATGAGGCAGGAAGATCAGAGAATGGATGGGGTCACGACGAGGACGAAGAGCGAGGGGAGGGGAGGGGGGTCCTGCTCACCGCCTGTCTGTCTCTGGGTCGTCGTCGTCGTTGTCCCTCAACGTTCAGGAGGGGAAAAAACACAGAGACAATTAATCGTCGATCCCCCAGAAAATATGGGAAAATATGGGAAGTGGGGGGGAAGACGAAAACCCAGAAAATATTGGAAACTATGGGGAATCCTTTTATTTGTGTGTATTTATTTGTGTGTCCCAGGGCCCCTTCAAACGTATCCGCCGTAGTCGTGGCATCCGCCGTCCACTCGGATGCGCGCCTGCACCCAGACACTGAGAGCCAGACGCCCACAACGGGGCGTGCCTGAAAACGAAATGTGCATACAGTGCCGTTTTTAATGCATGCTCCGCGTGCGGATCACGTATTAAAACTGCAGGGATTTAGTACTAAAAACAACGATGAGCTCATGCATACACTCATTCACACATTAATCATGTATTAACAATCCTATACTGAAAACAAATCCGATGTATGAAACAACTGCCCTGTATGGGGATCCCCGCGCTGAGTTGATCTGCGGCGAGTCGGAGGGACGAGGAGCATCACCGCCGGGCGTCGAGGGCAGAAAATCGCGACGGCCGGATCCTCTTTGCAGGCGGGCCGGCCTCTGGAGGCCCCGTGGCCCACCGCCGTCGCGTGCCCGCTGCTCCACGCGCGGCTCCGCCGCCTCCCCGGGCGGCGCGCGAGCGCCGCGACCCCGGAGTGAAGTCGGGCACGTCCCTCTACAGGGGGGAATCTGCAAAAACAGTAGAACAATCGTCTGGAGACGATTTCTGCACTATTTCTAGTTATTGTTGGGGTAGTTTGTTTGTTTCTCGTCCAACATCCGCCCGTAGGGGGACACGCCCGACCTAACCCCAGAGGGGAGTTACGGTCGGGAGCTTACGGCTCAGCGTATCGCGCCGCCAGTTCTGGCCCACTACGCTTGGCGCGACACGCTATCCACGTCCCAGCCCCCCGAGCGGAGGAGGAGGAGAAGGAGGAGGAGGAGGAGAAGGAGGAGGAGGAGGAGGAGGAGGAGGAGGAGGAGGAGGAGGAGGAGAAGAAGGTCTTAGACGGGAGTGGGGAATGATGGTGGACGGTTAGTTTAGGGGAGGGGGGTGAGGTGAAGCAGGACGAAGGAGGAAGGAAGGCGGCGGTGCCGACAACGACGTCGCCCGTTCTGATCAGGTCAGCCTCTCGAGTCAGCGTCCCCCAGCGGCAGCGGCTGGCGGCTGGCGGCTGGCGCGTGCAAGATCCCGCATCCCGCCAAGGCGGTGTGTGTGTAGGGGGTGAGAAAAAGGAGCGAGGAGGAGCAGGAGGAGGTGGAAGAGGAGGAGGAGGATGAGGAGGAGGAAGAGGACGAGGACGAGGACGAGGACGAGGATGAGGATGAGGATGAGGATGAGGATGATGATGATGATGATGATGATGATGATGATGATGATGATGATGATGATGATGATGATGATGATGATGATGATGATGATGATGATGATGATGATGATGATGATGATGATGATGATGATGATGATGATGATGATGATGATGATGATGATGATGATGATGATGATGATGATGATGATGATGATGATGATGAGGAGGAGGAGGGGAGGAGGAGGAGGAGGAGGAGGAGGAGGATAAGGATAAGGAGGAGGAGGAAGAGGAGGAGGAGGAGGAGGAGGAGGAGGAGGAAGAGCATGAGGATGAGGATGAGGATGAGGAAGAGGCGCCGGAGGGAGGAGGAGGAGGAGGAGGAGGAGGAGGAGGAGGAGGAACAGGATGAGGATGAGGATGATGATGATGATGAGGAGGAGGAGGAGGAGGAGGAGGAGGAGGATGAGGAGGAGGAGGAGGAGGAGGAGGAGGGAGGAGGAGGAGGAGGAACGAGGAGGAGGAGGAGGAGGAACGAGGTCTGGCCTCTTGCGTTGGGCAACTTCAACAGGAGGGCCGCGTCCACGGCGGTGAGCTGAGTGTTTCTCAGCAGCGCGGCGGCAGCGCTCGGGGTGACAGAGGACTCAGTGGGCGACGCCGGGTGTGCCGAGCGCATGCACACGGTGGCTCTGCTCGACCTCGATCGCCTGCCCTGTTGTTGAAAGTTCACCTTATACGTGAGCAACGTCCATGACAAGTTCAGCCGAGAGTCTGCTGCGAGAGCGGTCCATGAGCTCGTCCCAGACGTGCTCCCATGGGCCAGCCGTAGCTTGTGCACCGACAGCACGTACGTGCACGTGGCCACGGACGGCACGAGGACCCACCTGCCCAAGGAGCGTGGCGGAGACCAGGGGGACGCCTTCGCGAACCAGGTCTTCCGCTTTGCTACAGGGGCGTGGTCGAGGTCGGCGCGTGTGGAGGCTGAGCCAGGCTGATGCTACTGCTACCAGGATGATGTGGGCGTCATTTGCGCCATCACGGCCGTGCAGCCTGCCGAGGAAGCGTTTGCGTGGGCGTGCCCTGCGGCGGTTGCGCAGCAACCTGGCGAAAACCAAGGGCCCGTGGCTTCACAGCGTGGAGCAGACGACGCCAGCAGCTGACGCCACCTCTTGACACTCCTGCTTGCCGCGCTGCCTGCCCATTCTGGGCCTGACGGACGCGAGCAGTATGGCCGCCCTGAGCCCGCGGGCGCGCCAGTGCCTCCGCGACGTTGGTGGATGCGACCGCCCGAGTGGGCGACGAGGCCCCAGGAACAACGCAGCACTCCCTGGCTACAGCCCTACTTGCATCGGCTGCCCGCCTTGTCGCTGGCGCGGCGGCAGGCGAAAGCCCCGATGCGGCCGCGGCCCTGCGCTCGGCTGAAGATATCCGCGCGAGCGGTTGGCAGCAGGCCCCCACTCTGGCGCGCCGCCGCCTCGCCGACGCGCTTTTCGGCGTCGCGAAGGGGTTCTGGCTGACCCTCGACCTGCCCTTCGTCAGTAGGCGTTGCCAGCGCCCGTGCACGGGCGGCGGCGTCTGCGGTGCGCCGCTCGACCCGAAGGGCCGGCACGCTCTACGCGGCGCGGTCGGCACGTCCGCCAGTGCGAACGACGCAGCCTGCGCGGCGCTGGCGTAGTGGTGCTGAGAACAGGGCTGCGCGGTGCACAGGAGGTCTTGCTGCCCCGCGCCTCGCCGCAGAGTCCTGCAGCCCGCGTGGACATGGCGGTCCACGCACTAGGCGTCGCGGCGCCACTCCTGATTGACCTCGCGGTCATAGGCGCGGCGTCGCAGGATGCCCTGGCAAACGGGGCCGGTGCCGTTGAGGGCCATCGTAGATTCGGCGAAAACGCTGCGGCCCTTGTGCTGCAGTTCGCGCCCGCGGGGGGCGTGGCCCGCTCCGCGGCCATCCGGCAGCTGCAGCAGCGCCTCGGCAGCGTTCAGCAGCGGCGCGCCGCGGGCGCGGTCCTCACGGCCGCGCAGGCCTGGCCGTGGCGGGCCGCCACCGCGCTGGCGCTGGCGCTGCTTGGGGCCGCGGCGCAGCCCCCGAGAGGAGCTGGGGCGCAGCCGGGCGCGGCCCTGGGCCTTGGCCCTGATCCCCAGCGCGCGCGCTGAGTGCCCAGTTGCTGGCCTGGCGGCGGGTTGCTGCTGGCGACGCTGGTCTGCTGCTGCCGCGCTGGCGCGGGACT